TACACTTTACAAAGCCGAGAATTTTGTTAGTGTAAGCTAGGTACCCCCCCCACTAAGAGTCCAGTACCTCCAAAATAAAACAGAAACTGAAAGCCTGGAAGACGGGCAGATAATTCGACTGGGAAATTTCACGGAAAACTAGCCGATTTGAATGGCCTGGGGGCAAGTATGTGGGTGTGAACTGGTCCCCTGGCTGATAGGTATGTGCTCAGAAGAACTCATCAAGGTGAATGTGAATAGAGAGAGAGAGAGAGAGACAGAGAGAGAGAGAGAGAGAGAGAGAGAGAGAGATACAGACAGAAAAGACGGGTTCTTGTCATGTCGCGCGGATCGTGGTAGGGGGCGAACTTGCCGTAGCCCCATCCCCCATTCGAGAGCCGATCCCAGGCGGCACAAGCGGAAGCGCATTCAACGAACAATCCGCTGCCCCGGCCGCGAACACCCACAAAAACCATCGGGCGCTACACAATGCTACTCCTGACGGCATTGGAATGGTAGCACTCGATAATGTAGCACCTGGGAATTGCGTTATGCAGCAGCAGGATCCATCTGAAAAAAGTTATTTATCAGTATACTGATGGGAAAATGCCAAAATACCGAGATGCAAAAAATGGTTGTCAGTATTCTAGCTGTCGGATTATGTAACGACATCGAGACGAGGAAACTCGCTCTGAAAAAAAACTGCATTAATGCTCTTTGATTTTACAAGCGATATCCCTGCCCGCACACTTTTTGGTCAGCTGAACGAAGAGCCGCGTTATCAGAAAAAGGGCCCCCCGTTTTTGGACACTCGATCGACCACTTCCAAGCGATAAGCTCCCGCGATTTTCGATTTTTAAAGAAATCGCATCCGGATGTGGGCCAAATTGCTTTTTATACTCGGTCTTCTGGCCTCGATCCAGGTTTGAAGTCACTTTTCTAAAAACTAAAAAAAACATTGAATTCTAGGCCCTAACGATCAGGCCGCGCGGGCCACTTCGCGAGGATGTTCGCCGATTCCTGCGACGTCGCTACCAGGTTTGGAGTTTGTAGCCCGACGTACCTCAACTGAATATATCTAGGATAATGACCCGGAGCCGAAGCCAACTGCCGATTTTCTCATCGGAAGTAGTTAGTTGTTTTCTAAAATTGAAAACAAAAATCAGGCCTTTGACATCCTCGGGGGTGCCCAGTGAGGTAATAGGAAGTATTTTTCTAGTGTTTTTTTAGTCAAATCTAACTACATTACAGGTGGAAAAGTTAGAAAAACTAAAAATTGAGATTTTGGTAGAAATCTTGAGTTTTGTATTTTTTAGCAAACCGAATAATAAAGTAATACATGTATTTTAAAAGTTTTTGGTAAGGAATATCTAATTAAAACTCGACAAAACTTAAAAAATACAAAAATTATAAAATTTGGCCGAAAAACCTATGTATTTAGTGTATTTTCAGGTTTCCCCCACCCGATAATGCAAAAGTACCCGTCAATTTCTAGCGTTCGCCCCAAGGCAAAGGAAAATAGCAGAAACCATTGCGGAACTCCATTTAATTTCAGACGGGCAACGTGTCGAACTGTCGCTTGACCTGACAACCCGCGATACATGGATTGTGGACAAAAACTGCGGCACTGAGCTGTGCGATATGGGCACCATCGGGTTCGACGCGACCCAGTCGGTGACGTTCCGCAATTCGACACTGCCCTTCCACGGCACCTTCTACGACGAGCTGAATGGGGTGCACGCCGTCGCCGGGTTTGCCGTCATCGACCAGATGCAGTTGAGCACCTACCCTCAGAATGACCGCACCTGGCGCTCCGTTTTTGCCGTCGTCAACGCGCGCGACACGAACAGCACCATGGGCAATTGGCCGTACTATGGAGCGGTGAGTAGTGGGGGTTTTAAAGAAAGATAAAAATGGCTTCTTTACTATTTCCGTGGGGCGACGTTAATTTTCTATTAGTCGAGAGATGAATAGAACGTTATAGCAATTTCTAATACCTTTTTAGCAATATTTAGCTATATTTCAAATAGAAAAACACTCAGAAACCTGCAAAAAAAACGTTATTTTCATTTTATAGCCATAGCACGGATTGAATAGTTTTTTTTTGGAAAAATTAATTATGTTTCAAGTGAAAAATTATTGGGAAAAACAAATAAATTGTTTAAAAATTTGAAATTTTCATAGAAATCAACATTTTTGTATTTTTTAGATAGATTGTTGTAGTTTTTAGGTTTCTAAATAGTAAAAAGTCTAGAATTCTAAGGAGAAAGCCCCCTCTCCCGGAAATCTAAAGAACTGAAAACCCTCCCAGGTCGGCCTAGCCCCCGGAGATGGCGACCTCCTCGACCCGGTGCTCCCGCATCTCCTCCAGGGCTACAGTGATCAAGTGCTGACGGTGTGGATGCATGATCAAGACGGGTGGGAGGTACCCTTCCTTAATTCACCGATCCCAAAATTAGATACCAGTTCTTCGGCGGCTTCTTCCCCGGCTCCTACGAGTTCGACTGGACCCAGAATTGTGACAACACCACCTATTTCACCACGCCTGTCACCGAGCCGACCACGTGGCGCTTTGCTGTCAATGGGTGGGTTAATGACCTGAAAGGACCTAAATAGATATTTCAGCGTAAACGTCGGCACATACACGCGAAAACAGACCGAACAAGCCGAGATCAACGCGCAGTCGATGCTCACAGGGGTTAGTTTGATCCTCGAAAGTGCCTAAAAAAAATACGGTTTTGGACTTTTAGCGGGGGAGCTACCTAACCTATACCTACCTACCTAGTACAATTTCAAGCGTTTCTAGCGTTTTTAGTACTATTTGATCACTAAAGGCTAAAGGAACGGTTAGAAAATTCAAAAAAATGAAATTTTTCATGTTTCCGAGGGTTTTCTTAAACCAGTTTTTTTCGCAAATTTTAATCACTTTTTATGGGCTTTCTTCAGCCCCCCCCCCCCGCTAATATTTTAAGGGATATCAATAAATCCGAAGCCTAGGTCCCGCCGCTTGTCTACAACGCTATCGTCTCGCTAACCGGAGCAAAGCCTGGAAACAGCAATTTGGTAAGGATTGAACAACTTAAAAACAACCCATTTCAGCTGAACATCGACTGCCGCAAAATCGACTACCCAGACATAACGATAACGATCGGCAAAAAGAATATCACCGCCTCGCAGGACGTTTATGTCTCACGAGATATGGTGGGTGCAGTTATTCCTAAAAGTCGCTTCAATTACAAATCCGCTAAAAAAACGCCATCGGAATTCACCCTGGAAAATACTGCAATTAGCGAAAACCAGATTGATTTTAAAAATTTTATTCAACAAGCAAAATCAAGAAAGTATGAACGTATTCTGGCAATTTACTTCTCATCTTCTCCACCCTTCGCCAATTCCTCGTCAATTTCCGCCAGGCGCGTAGCGAACTGACGGGCAACCGGCACATAAAGCTCGAATTCCTTCTCGAAATCCGCGGCAGCCTTGTCCACCTTCTCCACGATTTTTCGGCCATCTCCATACTTTACGCAATTCATGATTTGCGTCAAACGATCCTTTCCGGCGAGCAACACCTTCTCCACAGCATCGTTGATGTTCTTCTCCACGTATTGTAGATTTCCCTGGAAGCCTTCCACGATATCGGTATACCTCTTATCGCTTTGCTGCTGAAGTTGGTAAAGCTCAATGCCGAGAAGTTTGGCAACTGCATGGTCGTGATGAGAGTCGAAGGCGCAATTTCCGCAATTGATCGTGCTACAGTTTTGGCATTTGTAGAGACGTTCAACGCTCCGGATGAGACCACAGTCCGAGCACGCCATCCAGAGTTCCTTGCTCTGATCTTCTTGCTTGTCGACTATCGATATTTGCGACAATTGAGCCTTGAGCTTTTCGTTTTCGGAAACCTGGTTATTCAAATCTCTTTTGAGTGTCAATAGCTCTTTTTTGGCGCAGTCGAGCTTTACCGTTTGCCAGAAAGCGACCATCGCACGATCCACGGGGTACACAGCTGCATCTTCGATTCCCGCATCACATTCCATGCAAAGCACGCACCCATCTTCCGTTCGTCGTTCATCGCAGGCTACGCAAAGATAATGTCCACATCCAGCTGGCACACCAATCCATTCGTTCACCAGAAGTGGCCGCTCGCAGGCGACGCAGTTTGGCGCTTTGATAGGTGGGGTATATCGATATCCACCAGACCTGCGTTTGAATTCAGGTCTTGCGAGGAAATCCATTAGACCCCGCTGAAGCACATGCGCTCCATGTTGATCGCAATTAAAGCAACAAATATGTCTACGTTCGTTTGAGTAGACGGGTCTTCTGGTATTTGTCTGCGCAACCGCAAACGGCTCACCGCAGAATGGGCAGTTGAAAAGCCTCGTGAACATCGACATTGACCTAAAACAAACAATTAGCTAGATGGCTAAAATGAAGGAACGATGAGAATCCGACAACAGAATGATTAAATCCACGAATTTCAGTCTAGGCGTGTTTTTTCAGGAAAACGGGGATCAAGTGTGCCGACTTCTCTTCTACCCCACGCAATCATCTGGCTTTGCCCCTGCATGGAAACTGAGCTATCTCTGGCAAGTTTCAATAACCCCCAGTTCTATATCCATAACTCCTTCCAGGTTCTATCAAATGTGCTTCCACTTCAACACGAGCCCTCTCTCAGTCGGATTCTCGCAGCAAACCTGGTAGCACAAAGCCGAAAATATCGTCGAGCCACGCGAACAGTAAATATTTATCAGTGCTATAAATGCCAGGCGAAGTAACTAACAACAGGCGAACACGGTAACAATGGGCAACTTAACAGTTTAATAGAATTAGAGCCTTCCAAAAAGGCGTGGGGAAGATAAATTGCTATAAGGGAATGTAGCATACGTATTAGACCGGATACGGCAACCATCGGGGAACGCGACTATACACGTAATGTGACCCGTATAAAGAGGAAATTTGTTGTAAATTGGGCTAGAAGGAAACTAGAATACGGACTAGAAATGGACAACAAGCGAAGGGAATTATGCGTCGGGCAGGTCGTCGTCGGAACTGAGTTCGATGACCTCGTTGTCGACATTGTTATCCTTGTCGGTCCCCTGTGCCGAAGAACGAGTGCCTGCCGATTCGTGAGATCTAAAACAAATATTTTTCATGAACTAGCGTTACTATCAACTATAATAATTTTCTTGACGCGTCCGTCCGTCTGTCTGTGTGAAGCCGAATTCAACTCGAAGGGGAAAGGAGCTAGAGCTTAGCTCTCTTCGGATTCGGATAGAGCGTGGTCAGAAACCCCCAAACTGATAAAAAAATTATGAAAAACTTTTAGTTTAAATTATTAAAATTAACTTTGAAAGTTTTTTCCTTAGTAAAAGGGGTGGGGGACGGAGGTTGGGGTGATTTTGGACATAGTGAGCCAGGTCGCGCGCGTTTCGTGGATGAAAATTTTCACGGGGGATTTCATTTCTTTTTTTTCTCTCATTCCATCCGGTCGGTCGTTATTTTTGTTTTTTAAGGGGATTTCGGCTAGAGGAGGTATCTTAAACCATCGGGAAGGTATTTAGGTAGTTTTTGAAGGGGATTTCAGCCATGGGGGGTATCTGAAGCCATCAGGAAGGTATTTAGGTAGTTTTTTGAAGGGGATTTCAGCCATGGGGGGTATCTGAAGCCATCAGGAAGGTATTTAGGTAGTTTTTGAAGGGGATTTCAGTCATGGGGGGTATCTGAAGCCATCAGGAAGGTATTTAGGTAGTTTTTGAAGGGGATTTCAGCCATGGGGGGTATCTTAAGCCATCGGGAAGGTATTTAGGTAGTTTTTGAAGGGGATTTCGGCTAGGAGAGGGTCTAAAGCCGTCAGGAAGGTATCGAAGTAGTTAGTGGAAGCAGGTAGATAGGTAGATGTATTACATGGAGGGTAACCCGAAGGCCAGATGGTTACAGTCGCGAAGCGACTGGAACCATCTGGTTCAATTATAGACCAAAAATCGATACCTTGCCGACTCGACAATATCCTTCTTGAGCTGTTGGAGGCGGGAGTTGGCGCTGTCGGACACCCTCAGCTCGCTTTCATCGTCACAACTGTCTATCGCATTCGACTCGAGCTCTGGATCATCAAAGTTTGTGAAGTCCTCCTTCGAAAGCCACTCTTGCACAAAGTCTTCCTTCTGAAAAAAAAGACATTCTAAAAAAGCCAGTCAAAGCCGCACCTCAATGTTGATGGCAAGAGTAGCTGGGTCCATCTCCGGATCCTTGTCAGACACTTTCACGCAGAGGACCTAAAACAAGGATAATTACCCATTTTAGGGGGCTTACTTCAATTTCATCATCGTCGTCCGCGACCATCCCTGGCTTTCCCTTTGAATTTGGGTGGATCATAACTTTTTTTGAGGGCCCATCGCTATCGCCACGCTAAAAAGGTTGAGAATTGGAAAAGGAAGAAGTTCTCACAGCCAGCCTTCGCTTCTCTCGACGTGATGCCGTAGCGGTCATATCATTATTCGTCCGCGATCCAGTCGGCGTGCTTTGGACTAATTGACGATAAGCCTTGGAAACTTTTTCACATACGGTTGGTAATGTCATCAGGAGAAGCGCATTCCATCGGAGATTTGTCGGTGGCAGCGGCAACAGCTTCAGGATCGTCCAAGACACTCGTCTATCCTCAACCTCATAAAAATATCTTTTTAAAATAATACCGCTTCCGTTTCTTCGTCATGCATCCTCTCTACTGAGCACCCGCTGGAGAGATTTATGGTGGCGGCATCAACCTAAATAAAAACTACTAAATCGGAAATATTACTCACCTTGTCCAAGCCATCTCCCTCCTCAGATTGAGCCTGGCCTGCTTCTTCGTCTACTTTCATCTCCTGGTCTTGCGCTTGTGCTTTGCCATCCTCTTGTTGCATCACCGTGTCCTCCGTTAGGTCATTGTCCTCTTCTTCTTCGATCTCTCCGTCTTCGAGTTCACCGTCTTCTTTTTCTTCGCAGCTTTCGTCTTCCTCTTCATCGGCGACAGTTTCCGCTTCCTCTGAAGCCGTGCCGATGACACCGCAACAGCCCATTATTTCGTCCAGCCCTTTGTTGACGCGCGCATCATACTAAAAAGGTTTTGAGCTAAAAAATTTCCCTTGCCTCAGCATCTTGAATTTCCTTGGCCAGCACGTCGTGTTTAGAGGCTTCAGCAGCGGCGTTTGAGCCTTGTTCTTCATCTTCGATAAGCTCGGCATCCTCGTCTTCATCTCCAGCTTGCGCTTTCTAGTCAAGCATTAAGAATTTCGGCATCACAGTCCAATAGACGCCATTTTTCGAACTTTGAGAAAATAAATATGCGATTAGATGTGTGCTTTTGGTAAGGTTAGGCGCAAATCAATATGCGAAAGTACCTTTGGATCGGTGTCGTCACCTTCATCCGGCACATTTTCTAGCTGGTCTTGATTTCGTCGGATCATCTCCTACATTTGCAAAAATCACCGTTTTATAACAAGGATACGTACAACAATTTTGGCTGATCTCTCCGCGGTAGTCTGGCCAGACTCGGCCACTGGGATTTGGCTGCAGAAACTAGGCTCATCAGGAAGAACAGTATCTAAACTCGATAAACTTGATCAAAAAACTAAAATACCATTGAGCATTTTGAAATAACCGCTAAATTCGGCGCGATACTCCTTGAGTTTTTGGTGGATCAGCACTGAGACGTCTATGATGAGTTGCTCTAAACGAGGAGGGCTTCTTTAGTAGCAGTCTTCATACCTGCTTCAGGAGTTCCCAACGCCGGGACTTTCTTTACCACCTCAGCATGCTCCTGGTCTTGCTGATGTTGGGCGGTAATCAACGCAGCGATTTGATCCGGAAGCAGATTGCTGACAAAATGATATATAACGTCTTCTCGAAACGCAAACCCTATGAGGCGGTCCTGGTCTAATGCCGCGTAAACAGCCTTCGACAATCGATCATCAAGACCCTACAAATAGTGAGTGACGTAACCAAATCTACCTGAAAGCCGGAGCCCGCGATAATGATTTTCGGCGTGCTTTCGTACATGGCGCGGAATGGCTTGTACTTCATCAGCTTAGCATCGATTTCGGCAAGACGAGCGGTACACTGAGATCGAGGTATTAGCGCGGTTTGCCAAGAGTCACAAGTTTCGCATATTTTTGCAAGAAATAAGCGCAACAATGCTGACCACCAATTTTTAAACATAACCCACCTTTTCTTCTTCTTTCATATAAACCTCCTCCTGCTCGATATTGTCGAAGTCCATCTCACGGTCCTGGAGCTGCTTCAATTTTGCGTCGATTTTCTTAAAATTTCAATATGGCCACTCTTTAGAGGCATACCTCCCGCACAGCGAAAAGCTGCTGCAACTGCTTGAATTTCTTGGCCGGGATTTCGTCTTCATTTGTCTCCTTCGAGGTACCGGCAACGGGCCCGGAGCTAGTTGCAACCTGTTAGAAAGCATAATTTTGCAAGGCTGGTGGTCTATTACCTGATCGGGTGGATCCTCTTTCTTGCTCATGCTGCTTGCCAGCAATCACGTGCAGGCTACCCTGGAAATCTGTAAATAAGGCGAATAGCCCGTAAGAGGAAATAGAAAGACCAAAACATCTAGTTTGCAGTATTTCATCCAGTCGCGTTAATTTTTTATCCAAGCAAAAAAACAACGGGTCAAAATCAACAATCATGAATCAACAACATATAACGACAATCTAATAATTTTCGAAATGTTCTATTCTGTATGAACGAATTCCTCCATTCTTCATTCCAAGTGCGAGGTAGGCGCCATGTGGTGAGAAGGCTGCCGAGTAGATGTGGCCCAATTTCTCGCGCCTGAACCGGATCAGAGAGCCATCGTAACGGAGTATACCTTTCCGGGAAGTTTTGATAGATCGTCTGGCTTGCCATATGGACGACTCGAACTTGTTGCTTCTAAATCGAGGTCAGTGGCCCTAAAAATGAAAACCTGTAGCGAACTGGCGATGACCATCAACTTTGAATCGTGATTGAACGTAATCGAGTCCACAGCGGTCACCAGATTTGTGATAGAAAAACTCGTTTCCGGAGATTCCGTCTTTCTCACTGCATCTGTTGCATACACGTTCACGAAGCCCGTGTTTTCGCTAAACATCATATCAATTTTCGCGAAAATTACTACCCGATTGCCACATATCTGCCATCCGGGCTGAGAGCCAATGCTGTGCCATGGACCGCGCCCTGGTTGAAGAATGTGTGCAGTTCTTTCGTCGAGCTCGACCAAATGTAGACCCGGCTGTTTTCTGAAAATTATCGAAATTTGCTAAATCGAATTCAAAAACCTCCAAGCGCCCAAAGTTCTTCGCTGCTACCAGGGAAGAAATGGATATCCGCAATCTCCACCGGCGCGTTGAATCGTTGCACAAAGTCGAAGCTCTGATACAACAAAATGGATAATTGCTTCAAAAGTCCATCTACCTGGCCATCAAAAAGGTAAACCTGTCCGCGATGTCCAACCAGCGCCACACGAGTCCCATCGCGTGATACACAATGCTTGCCAAAATTCTGCTTTGGAATTTCTAAACGAAAATCTATGAAAAAAATAAGCAGTAGAACGAACCTGAGGTGACCTTGATTTGCAAGACTTCGTTTGTCTCCATGTCGTATTTCATAAAGAAGGGTTGCGAGCGGGAGCCCAAGAGCAACTGAGTGCCGCCATGCAGGAAATCGCAGCTAAACACAAATCAGCTTGCTATCTTCAAACAACCTCGTAATAGGGAAATTCTTCAGCTGAACACTTTGCAGGAAAGATTGTTGTTTCGCGTCAGCGTGAACCTAAAATCATAATATTGTAATACAAATATTGGAACCTGGAACAATCTGATCAATCCACTGTCACCGGCAGCAATGAGAACAGGCTTTACGCGATGATATAGCATGATATTGAGTTGCCGCTGGAATGGAATAAAAATCTACATAACAAAACTTACACTATCTGGATGACCGAGGGCTATGTCTTGAAGCAGGCGAAAACCGAGCGTATGTTTCCGGAGAAGCGTACCGTCCTCGATATATCTAAACCGACTTGCTCAACGTCTTAATTCTCCCTACTTTCCAGCGCTTCGTGTGACATCGTTCAAAACTGCATCCACATCATCATCCGAATCATAGTTGACTAAAAAGCCATAATCTCCGTACGAGGGTCAGACCTTCTTGAATTTTCGCCCATTTGGGCTGCTTGCCCCTGGAAGCTTTCTTCACATATTCCTCTCGCAAGCGCTTTTGATATTCCTGAAACCAGTGCTGAATACAAAAAGAAACGCTATACCGGCTTTCCCACTAAACCATTTGTGGGATCGTTTGACCGCAAAAGGCAGCCCGTTGTCTTATTCTTTTTCACCAGTACCTGCAAGACAATAAAAGGGGATAAAAAGCAGCCCACCTCCTCCGTAAGGTCGTCGTCGTCCACATCCTGCCACACGGCAGCCCTATCTCTCGACGGTAACTAAAAAAAAATTTTTGCTTTCCCAATATTAAAATTTCTACATGTTCCTGCACATCGCCATCTTCTGACGATCCAGAGTCGGAATCTTCATCGTTGGCATCAGATTTGAATAGACCATCTAAAGAATATGATATTAAGCGGGATAACGTACTGCTAAACAATTTGGTAGCTAGTACTTCATCATCCGAATCAGAATCCGGAACGATTTCCGGTCCTGATCGCTTCAGAGTGGTCATCTGAACAACTGCTAGGTCAATAGTTTCAACAATCCAAAGTAATGGAGGGGCTAAAAGCGTGCTGCCCGCAGCCGCCCTGGGAGATATTTTGCACTAGTGCGCTCTGTGCCTCCAATGCATTACTCCACCCAACGTGACCACACATACCACCGGGGGCAGTCAGCTTTTGGTGTAAATTATAATCGATGAACGGAAAAGCATCGCAACCACTCTGGCAAAACATTCCATAGGCACCTCGTTTTTATTCTACATCCTGATTAACCTTTCGGTAAGAGTTTACTTTACCCCCCCCCCCCCCCCCCACAGCCGAAGGGTCTCAAAGTTTTCGGTATTTTCGCTTATTTTGTCGGGATTTTCGCAACGCCATTCGATAGAGCGTCGAAAAATATACTAGGAGTTTTAATATGAGCCTACAATAATGTAAAATAAAAAAGTTATAGCCAAAACATTCCGGCTGGGGGGGGGGGGTAAAGTAAACCGTAGCCAACCTTTCCTTTATGTTTACTTAATTGCCAATCACGCAAAGAAATTTTTCTCCGATTTAGATGCTCGGAAGCGGCTTTTCACTGAATGAATCTTCAAATGACGATGATTTCGGGGAAGCGGTATCACTTCCAAAAAATACCGCATCAAAATTTTAGCTATCCGCCAACTCCGACGCAAATAGTCAGCAGAGTTCTGGGAGCTACACAAATGTAAGTGTTAACAACAGACCAACAATCAAAACCTAAGGAAACTTGCACAAATGAAGACGTCGAAAATGAACCAGGAAAGCATCTACGAACCCGTTTTCCCCATGTAACTGTAAGTCTAAAGCTACTGCGTCGCAAAAGCAATGATCTGCAAATTAGGCTAACAGAAGATCGAATCTTGCAATGACAAAGTTCAAAATTTATTACCACTTCAACATGTTCAATTAATGCACACACAGAATTCACAGGGAAAAGCCAGCCAAATTTCAAACAGAGGCTAGATATACGGAGGAAAACCCATCTTGAGTTAATAGGGATTCGGACTGCATCATTTCTTCGTCCACAAGTTTTTCGTTCCGGAGTATCGGCGGGCTGAGGACGGTCGGAGACGGGCTCCTTGGTGCTTCAGTCGCTAAAACCAAGCATAAACCACTACAAAACCTCGGATACTACCTTCAAAAAATGGGCTGGAAAACGCATCGGGTGCCTTGTCTTTGGCAACGCCAGGAAGAATACCACGCAGCAAGTCGGTGATGGAAACAAAACAGGCCCCGGTCGACTGTCCGATATTTCTGCCATCAGCGAAGTTTCTAAATCCAATAGATATCCAACGTAAAGATCAATTACTTGAAAGGCTGGTGCTTTTCCTGGATACAGTAGAAGCAGACCGCCAAAATGACGATGAAGGCCAGAACAAGCAGCAACACGGTCAGGAATGAGGTCGAATCATCGTCGGGACGCACAATTGCCATAGCTGCTTCGTCAAAAATTTCGCAGTGAGCACCGGTGTAGCCAGAATCACATCTAAATCGGGACTTAAAATAGTTCCGAGATCACTTACCGGCAAGTCCCAGAGAGAAGTTCGCCAGTCACCGAATCCATGGCAAAATCGCAGTTTCCATTAAAGCCACAGGCCTTGCCTCGCTCACAGAGCTCTTTCATATACTCGACATCAAGGGAGGAGTGCGTCTACAGACAGATTGTTAAAAACGCGTATATTGTACCTTGTATTCCGTGGCGTTAGCAGGAAATTCGCAACCGTCTTGGCTATTGCGTCGGTATCCTTCCGGGCACAGGCACTCGTTTTGGAAAGTGCCTTCCTTAGGAATCTTCACGCAAACGTACTGACATTCGATTTCGCTGTGGCACGAGGCCCAGCCAGGATTATACTACAAATAGGTAGGAAATCGCCAACAGAAAGAGTACCTGTGCCAACGTATGATTCACAGCCAACCCGAACGGACGACTCAAGAGCCTCTCGGTGTGCGGTAGCATATGATGGTCGGAAGAAACATCAATAGACCGGACGACATCCATTTCTCTAAAGAGCGATGATTAAATCTAAGTAAAGCTTACGTTTCACTATAATAGAGAATGCCGTTGAAGAAGGCCATGGCGTAAATAGAGTCGGTTCTCGTGGCGATGATCTGCCGCTCCTTGGTGTCATAGTTGATCCGTTCGATCATTTCATTCCCATTGTCGGCAATATAGAGATCGTTCCTGATCGTATCCCAGACAAGGGAACGTGGATCCGCAAGCTTCTCATCGAGCAGAGTGTGAATTTCGCTTCCATCTGTATTGGCACACTTGACCTTGAAGGATTTGAACTGTTCGATCCAACACATCAGGCCTCTCGTGGGGTGAAGGGCGAGACCTGAACAATGAATAACCAAAATTTCTGAGTTACCTTTGAAAACAGTTGGTTTGCGACGACCACGTCCATCAAAAGCATGTCGGGTGCTTGTGACTAGTTTCGTACAGTAGAGTGCATCATCGGTGCAAACGGTGATCTTCGGGTCTTCACGCACACCACCGTTGATGAAGTAGACGTTTCGATTGATCCAATCATATTCAATGCTTCGCAGTTCTTCGAAACCTTGCCGCACCGCTTGAGGTTGACCATTTGTTGTCCGTGCGAGACGCCACTAGAGGTGAAATCATCAACAGACGAAGAAAATTTTACCTGATCAGTGTGTCCGCCGATTCCGAACCATAAATGTTGCTTGGCAAGATCCATCGCCATATGATAGACGTTGTCACCATTGTCCAGAGCAGAGTAAACACGATATAGCGACGGGTGATCGATTTGGTCGTGCAAAGCGCCAACACGAATCTAAATCAATGAAAGGCTGGCGAAAAAAAACAAACCTCGTTTCCTAAGCTGATCATCAGTTCACCGCCCTTCGGGTCGTTGACAGGCGTGCACTGGTGCATATCGTCTCCCAGAGTAAAACCCGGGGCACAAGTGCATTGGTAGCGGATGCCAGTTTCGGTCGGTCTGCAGAAGTGGTAGCAACGCTGGTGGTGCAGGCAGGGGTTGTCTTTGATGCAGAGCCGGAAGTCGGAAGGATCGCTGATTTGATCGGCAGGGCAAGTGCATCGTGCTTCTGAATCGAAAAGCTTCTAAAGGGTAGCTAAAGCAAACCTAGAGCGGTTTCATGGCAACCACCGGTGCATCCCATCGTTTCACATTCACCACATTTTCCCCTCTCATCATCGCCATCCGGACAGTCTTCAACGCCGTTGCATGTCGCGCCAACATCAATACATTTGGAAGCTGAAAGAGTGTCAAGCAAGCGACGGAAATTTACCTCCTTTACAGCGATACTGATCAAGACGACAGGTTGTGTTGACAGCGGGGGCAGGTTCAGAACTATTGGAAGCCGGAATCGAGGGGTTCGTGCTTCTTCAGGTACATCACAGGCGTCCTCATCAGAATCATCCGTGCAGTCCGGCTCGCCATCGCAAACCCATTGCTTCGGGATACAAGCATCATCTTTGCACTTCCACTGATTGGGTGGGCAAGTTTCATGTGAGTGGCATTCGGATTCATCATCATTTTCCTGACAATCCTAAAAAGAAACTGTTTAACAAAATCGAACAAAGCTAACTAACCTTGACACCATCACAGACGAGGCTCAGATGGATGCATCCGCCGGCTGGCCCCTTGCAAGCGAAAAGATCCGGTCCGCAGTTCGAAGAAGGTCGTCCGGCACCGTCAGGCTTTAGGTCGCTGTGATCGGAACATGCCCACTCGTCGCGTCCATCATGACAATCGCGCTGAAACAGCGAAACTGGCCAGGAACCGAAATTTATACCACGCCGTTGCACTTGAAGATGGACTGCACACATTCTCCGTGATCGTGGCAATTGTACTCGCCTTTGGGGCAAGGATACATGTAGGAGCATCCCGTCTCGTCCGTTTTATCGAAGCAATCCGGTACCTAAAACAGAAATAATGCAGATTTCAAGCCACAAACCCCATCACAGCGCCACTCCAACGGAATGCATTGTGCTGTCCTGCCACAGGCGAACTGCGTTGTGTTGTCGCAACGACTATTTGCGGCCGTCACTAAAAGAAAAGATGAACTGGAAAAAGGTGGGGGTTACCTTGAAGACAGCATATGGCTAACAGGGCGATGATGCGATTCCGCATCTCCAAGAACTAGAAAAATAAAGCTTATTTTCGATGAAGATCAGCAGCAGCGAAAGAGAAATGCTAAAACAAAAACAAGGAAAGAGAAACCGAGCGGAAAATCCGAAAAAGAAAACGAAAACCGGCGGCCGGCGGGGGCTAGTGGAAGTCCACGAAATAGGCAACTAAATCGCCAATCGTACTACTGTGTAAATGTGTGCATAGTATTGCCCCGTAGCGTCAAAATAAATATAATTTTTCAAAACTTAGTTTCTTATAACAAAAACCAGCGCCCAAAACCCCGCTTCGCGGGCCTTGGGCGCTGGAATTGGGCCTTTGCATGAAAAATTTGACTTTCCGATAGCTCGGGTCCGTCGGACCCCTTCCCCCACCGTCCACACACGCGCGGGCAAATTGCAAGAATGAGGAAATTTGTATTTTTTTCATATTATGCAAATTACCCCCAAAAATGAATAAAACCGGCTTTAACTTTGTAAACTTGTATTTTATCGAAATTCTGAAAACGTCATCGGAAAGAGGAGGGTCGATTCTCCCGAGTGACAAAAAATCAGCGCATTTTGGACACGGGAAGGCCCTCAAATCGGGCCTCGAAAGTGACATCCACACACACACACACACAGAGAGATACACTCCAAAATTATATAAGGTAGGATATAATTTGAGGTGATACAAAAATTTAGAGCTCACCGTTGCCGACATGTTGGAATATCAAAGACAAAAGCGACCTGATCCAGCTGACCCATCAACATCTGCGCATCACTCACAAAGGTGTAATTTAAAAACGGTCAACACTAAAAATGTTTCGGAATGGAACAAAAAAAAACATGCCGAAAAACTTCGGTATGTTCATATGATACAAAAGCCTCTAGGAATCTCGTTGGTGAAGCCACCGACAGAAAAGGGTTCCGCAGCATTGGTTCGAGCAGACGCAGCCGTCCCTCGTTGTTGCGGTGTTTATTATTTTGAGGTATCTACGATTTTATACTATTCGTCCAACACTTCACTTTAGTTGACGATCGTCAAAGGAAAGGATGGCCGAGTTGGTGTGGGTTTTGGCCCGAAAAGTATGGGCAGAGAAAGAATGCCAGGTGCGTGTAAAACTATGAAACACAAGAATTCTTCCGTTTCTCTAGTATTACAAGCCACCGCAACGTTTGGTTTTCTCTAGTTTATAACATTTCCTTCAGGTTGGGATACCGATTCGTATGCCTACCACGGTGATGATGGACATTTTTTCACGGGCGATGGTATTTGTATTTATCTATGGTCAATGCTTTTTGTTTCAGGAAACGGCCGAGAATACGGACCCAAATTTAAAGAAGGTGACGTTATCGGCGCTGGAATCAACATGGTCGAACGCTACGTGTTTTTCACGCTCAATGGACATAGCTTGGGTGAGCTGAAATACTTTTTCTGAACTTTTAGCTTTTAGGCAGAGCCGCTCCTTTGGCCAGCTCCGTGGAAATTTACCCCGCAGTTGGTCTGCAAAGTGCCGACGAAACAGTAGAAGCCAATTTCGGAGATCGACCTTTTCTTTTCGATTTTACGAGCATGCACGAGGTGATTTCAGGTTTTTTTAAATAATGGTCTTTAGGATGCTCGGAAGTGTGTCGCCGAAGAGATTGAAAACGTCGAGTTGCCAGGCGAAAAAACAACGTGGATGAACAGGTAAACGAGCTCTTATAGTCGAACCTTTGTTTATTTTAGTGCCATCTGCTCTTGGCTCCTCAGCGAAGGCCACGTCCGGGCTTTAACCACTTTGAACAAGACGGCGCAACTCGGGTTCAATTTTACAGAAGAGGGGATTGCCAGGAGAAATTGTAAGGATACTGCAATGGTTCAAGTTTTTTTTGCTTTTTTTAGCTATACGAAAGTTAATCCTTGCGATGCGAGCTACAGAGGCAGCCGATAGGATCGAGCAGTGGTATCCGCAGCTTTTCGCCAAAAATCGCAAGGTTTTTCGATTCTTTCTGGATTTCAATGGCTTTTCCTTGCAGGTCGAGCTTTTTGTGAAATATCAAGTGTTCGTCGAAAAATCGCAGGCGGTCGCTTTTGATACGGTATTTATCGTATTTTAGGGGTTATTCTGCGTTTAGGGTAGCACAAATTCACTGAATACTTCAAATGGCTCGTCTCGGGTGGCTAGCCGAAAACAAGAGAAACGGAAGGCGAGGGGACAGAAACGGAGACAAAAAGGTTTCTTAGTTTCCCGTATTCTTTGTGAGGCTAGAAAGCTTCTGTTTTCACGGTTATTTTTCAGACCTGGAGGCGAGTACCTCCCGGGAAGAACCACCCACTAGGAGAAGCCCAACTAACAGGTTTTGATCTTTTTTCGCGTTTAAATGTTTTATATGGCAGCACCCACGATGCGGATAATGCGAGCAACGGCTGCTCGAAGAACGGCGTGGAGAAGAACGGCAACGATGCGGCCGGAACCACCTTTATCGAAGAAGAGCAGTTCGACACCGAATTTGACGACGGTATTATTTGTTTGAGTGGCACCTTATTCTCTTCCAGGAGTAATGGGTGCTTCTCGGGAGGAGAACTCGAATTTGACTAACCGCTGTGGCTATTCGTTACTTGAGAAGGCAGAGGCAGAGAACAAGCTGGGCGAGGTGATTTTGTTAAAAATAGTGATTGAATATTCTCTTTTTCTAGGTTCTGGCTTATGGAAATTACGTCGCACGACTTCGAGAACAGCCAGGCCTCGAACTGACTGGAGAGGAAAAAGCTTTCTTTAATGTGAGTTTCGTGGACAGTTTTGAAATATATTCTTTTTGTTTAGGAAGCGATGATGGCCATTTTGACGCCTCCGGAAGAGTTCGATCAGCTGCCTCACATGCAATTAGATTATATCTGTCGGTTGGCGAAAGACGTCAACTCTGCGATTATGGGTACGTCGGGATTTGGTCTGCTATTCCAGTTTTTTTAGAATACGAGGGATATCCCCGCGAATCGCTACTTGATGAATACTTATCAATGCTACACCAGAACAAGCGTCGTCTTATCAAGGTAAATACTTTCGTTCCAATGGCACTAGCCATTTTAGTGCCACCAACCAAGCGGGCTCTTCCTGGACGTGGAGCAGGTCTTCACCTCTGAATGCTTTCAACAAGAAATCCCCATGGAAGTAGAGCCAAGCTCATAACTCTGTGATCATTCACCCCATGCGGCCTTTGCCAACTTGTGATTCTCGTGCCCATTGCCCGGCCATCGGCTCAAGCTTTCATCGACCTCCCAACCCTTTCCTCAATGTGTATTTGCATTTCCAAAGCCTCCTAAAGCCGGCTTATGAGAACCGCCAGGCGGTGCCTCACCCGGCTCAGTCACATGTGCCCGGATTTTACATGTATATTATTGTCCGATTGTCGCTAGCAAATAAATCGCATGCCTTTCACGGCGCTATTTGTTACAACACGATAAATTACACAATTTTTGAATATTTTGCCGGATTTCGGTGATGAGACATAGAAAAACAACACGATTTTTAGCCATGCCGGCTCCGTTTCGGCCGGACCTTTACAAAGACAAGGTCATATTGGCTCCGATGGTACGGGCCGGGAGGACACCGTTACGGTTTGTTGGCTTGTAAAGATGAAGCCCGGATTCAGGTTGCTAGCCCTGGAATATGGCGCGGATCTGGTGTACACAGAGGAGCTAGTCGATCAGAAGTTGATATCTTGCAAACGGATTGAAAATGGTAAAACTGCAATTTTGCTAAAGTTGCGGTTTTTTAGATATCCTTGGGACAATCGATTATCTTAACGAAGATGAGGTTGTGTTGCGGATAGCTCCAAAAATAGAAGGTAGGGCCGGTTCAGAATTTATTAACGGATTCTAGGCAGCAGAAGCATTCTACAAATCGGGACGAATAGCGGCGAAGGGGCAGCTGCCGTCGCGAAGATGGTGTAAGATTTACGAAGAAATTTTTCGATGCATCAAAGATATTTTTATTTTTTGCGCTTTAGAGGTAGTGATGTAGCCGGGATCGACGTCAATATGGGCTGCCCGAAGCCATTCTCTATTGCGGGCGGAATGGGCGCCGCGCTTCTCACACAACCAGACAAGATCAAGGAGGTTAGAAAAATGATTCAGCCCCGATTTCTGTTTCTAGATTTTGACTGCGCTAGTTGAGGCATCATTAGTTCCCGTCACTTGTAAAATTCGAGTTCGAGACAATGTAAGCTGTTTTGAGTGGTATTGTAAAGAATTTTCAGCCAGAGGACACGCTAGCGCTCGTTCATATGATTGAGAAATGCGGCGTCTCAGCTATCGGTGTACATGGACGAAGACGAGATGAGAGGAATCCGGATCGGTATTTTAGGATTATTTCTCGGTGATTCCTAGTTTTCAGATGCCGTTGCGAGGAGATTGCAGAAGTCGTAAAGGCAGTGTCGATCCCAGTAATTGCAAAGTAAGGGAGGTTTTTTTTCTTATTGCCTATTTTAGCGGTGGTTCCGGGGAGATGACGTGCCGATTGGACATTGAGGCATTTCGAACAGCTACCCAGGCCTCAAGCGTGATGGTAGCGAGACAAGCGCTCGCAACGCCCAGTATTTATCGGTATTTTTATACATATATGAAAATTATGCGATTGTTTTCTTTGCAGAATCGAAGGTGTGCTCCCGATGGCTAGTGATATTACACGGTTTCTGGAGCTGGTAACTTTGAGTTGTTTTTAAAGTTTTTGTCTAGGCTTGTGAATTTGACGAGAATTATACGATGACCAAATACGTAGTGCAGAGGATATTGGGTGGAGAACAGGTATCGTGAATTTTTTATATGAAAGTGTTATTAAAGGAGCACAATCCGCGCGGAAAGGCAACGGTGGCTGCAGGCTGCGTGTCTGAGATCTGTTCAGCATGGGATCTGGACGATGTCTATGATAAGTGGCGCATCTATCGTCAGCGAATGAAGTAGGGTATTGCCTGATTCAAAAACAATTTTTCTAGAGCCAAACGAAAGATCGAGGAATGCCCGGAGACTGGTGCTCAACTTTTTGACGTCTCTTTCCCACTGTATGTAGTTTTTTAAAAAGTTGTCGATAGTTTTCTAGAAAACGACTTCGCGATAATTCGTCAGGATCGCCGAAATGTGTGCTCAACAAAATATGTGACGACCGACGGGAGAAGCGGCCAATCTATTCAACGGTGAGCACCTAAAAATCGTTAAAAACCTTTTCTTTCAGATTATGCGCGAAGGTGATAAACGCTACACAGCAACGATCGAGGTGATGGGCAAAAAGTTCAAGTCCCGCGTGGGCCAGGTTAATAAGAAGATGGCCGAACAGGTATTGTTTTTCCGGATCCTCAAATTGAAGTTTTTAGGTGGCCGCCCTTTCGGCGCTGATCGGACTCGACCTGCGGCATCTTCTACAAGGAAATTGGGAGGAAGATTGATGTTGTGTTTTTTAGTCAGGCGCCTGTGATAAGTGTATCTTTTTGTTGTTTCGTTGTTATGAAGCTTTATTTTTTGCAAAGTATCGCAAGGCAGGAATGGCGTAAGAGCGGGCTGTAGAGATTTGAAATTTTTGTAGTCTAAGCTTAAGTTAAAGCTCGCTAGCCAGCCCAGTCTGATCATGGCTGAGTCTAAGCAGCGTCAATTTCAGTTAAGCACGCTCAAATATAAACTGGGGCATCAACTCTTCTCTGCAGTTCTCCAAAACCCAGGACCCACGGTTGCTCTTTGATTCCATAGATGTCTGCTGCTTCGGCAAATGTTTCCGAGATGGGCCTGATCCCCGATTCAGGGAGCGTCTTATTTGTATTTAAGAGAATATGACCGACCGATTGACCGCGTCGCTGTCAGCCGGGCAAAGAAAAACAATGTGGACAGCCACTGTATTGCTCGGGTTGCTGCATTGCAGCTACGGCTATTTTAACCCGGCAGAGGATTTGGGGCTTAACCTCAGCCCACAGTTTTGTGAGTTTTTGATACGAAGTTTTGATAGCTTTGCTTGGACCATCCTAGAGTTCAGGGAGTTGTGCGTATACACCTAGGAACGTCTCTCTCTCTCTCTCTCTCTCTCTCTCTCTCTCTCTCTTCACCAATCTGTGCGTAAATAGGTGTATGTGTTAGTTCCTGAACATGCGCTTTAAAATTCGGGTTTTTTAGTTTCTGGTTCGTCATTGTCTCGCGTATCACCGGCCTTGGATTCTAACCTTGGACAAAGATGCGCCGGTAGAGGTTCGATCGTCTTGGTCGTCTTTTTAGAACGCATTTAATTAACGCGATCCTTTCGCATTATCGGGGGGGGGGGGGGATAGAAAAATGATCTCAATACTTTCGAAAAAGTCTAAATTTTGGTCAAAAATTGCCCATTTTTGGTGGAAAAATCGATATTTTTTTAATAAAATGTTGTAAGGTTTTCACGTTTCCTCCCCCCCCCCCGATAAGGCGAAAGAACCAGGCTGAGAGTGATTTAATGTCGTAATATTTTGACTGACCGAACTTTAAGCTTCAAAGCTTCAATAGAGGAACAAGCAATTAGAGCGTTCCCATTCTTCACTCGTCGGTGGTCATGCGGTTGTCAACGAAAAAGTTAGAGCGATTCCTCTGGGCAGTCGCACTCTTCAGAAGCGACCCGACGTCATCTGAGGTGAAGAGGATAACTTTTGCTGGCGATCCTAAAGTTTAACCACTATCTAAGTGACATTTTCAGGTGAAGCCATTTTGTTCCGGCACGCTCATCTCCGATCGTCACATTCTGACGGCCGCCCATTGCACGGCGTAAGTTTGCGATTATATTAAGTGACTTCAGAAGCTTTACCGCTTCATAAAATATGCATTCAGCGACCTCGACAAAGAAGAAGATAGCAAAAGCGAGAAAACACAGCCCACATGGGCCGAGCACGACATTTATGTGGCCCTCGGGGCCAAGTGTGTCGTCAAATCGGGTGTTTGTGAGGGGCGAAAAGCGGAAAGGACTATTGTTAAGGTACGAGAAAGTGAGAGAGAAAGACATCTTTCCTTTTTCAGGTCAAAAATATTGTCGTGCCCAAGGAGGCGATCTACGGCGCAAACTGGCGTCGCGGCGGCGATATCGCCATTTTGGAGCTCGAAACCCCGGTTAAAGAGGTAAATATATCATTTTCTAGTGGTACAGTTTTACTACGATTTGAATTATTAATATTCTACTTTTCCAGGCTTCCAACATCAAATATGCCTGCCTGCCCGGGTGGAAGATTACAATGCCAAAGCGCAAATCCTATGTGCACTGGGGATGGGGATATTTGGAGCGTACGTTAAAACGGGGTTGAAAAAGGGCATAGCATTATTTTTATCTGACGTAGAGGTCTAGACGCGTCGCGGTCACGATGCTGTCCGGGAATTATCTATCACGCACGAAAATGGCTTTTTTTGTAGAAGTTTTGGACAAAATTACTTTTAGAATCTGAATCTTGGTGCAAAAATTGGAAAATAGGAGCTCTATAGCCTAGGAACTAGAAGAATCGCGTATGTCAGATTTTCCAACCCTTGCTCCAGATGAAACCGCCGGCAATCCAGTGAGAAGCACTTCCGACACACTGAACTACCTTGAAGACGTCGAACTGTTCGACTGTGCCTCGAAAAGTAAGTACCAAGCGAAAAGCGTTTAATAATAATAATAGGATAATATGCAATGTGATAGAAAGTATTAAATAGTAAGTATATAGTCGAATTTTATTAGTAGTAAGTGTCCGGCGTATAAAATAGTATTGATAGGATTTATTTTATAGTATGAATAAAACAACTCTAGGCGAGCGCCAGGCCGGTGATAAAGACGTGCTCTGCGGCCGATCGAAGCAATACAATCAAGGGATTGAGGGGGTACGATTTATAGTTCTTCAACGTACCTTAAACTGTAGATAAGTAGTATTTCTATAGCTAATATTTAATTGTAATTTTAAAAACCACCCGATAATTTTTAGGGAGATTCCGGGTCGGGCTTCGAGTTGAAGGGGGAACGTGGCCGGCCGAATTTGGTGGTCGGCGTCTCGGTGTATGTTGCCTCAAAGGTATGCAGGGATAATAAATATATAAATAGCTGGTTTATGGCATTTTACACAGTTTTTAGATATAGAATTTCACTACAAAACATAAAATTTTTGAATTTTAGGGTGAAAAATGGATGCAAAATACCCACAAAATAAAGATTTTCCAATTTTAAAATTTTTGTAAGTTCTAGTAAGCAAAAACTACTAAAACTGTATAAAAATAAACAATTTGTTAATAATGGGTTCAAATAGGAGTAAAAAAATTAGTTTTAGACAAATTTGAGTTTTAGAGCGACGAGTCGTACAGCACGGACATCCGCCGGTACGCCAAGTGGATCTGCGACCTGACCGGGTTGTGTTATATGAAACACAGTTGAAAAGAATCAATAAATATATAATAAAGTTATATTGCAAACAGGCGTTTTCCGGATTTTTACCGCACTTATTGCAATTTATGACCAAGGGAAAATCGTCACGCCTGAAAAACCCATTAAAAAACTATAAAATTCAATTTTCCCCAAACATTTTCGGCCCATTTTTCTCGAGCGTCATCAACTATAATAAAAAAGTAGTGGTGTCTGTCTGTCTGTCTGTCTGTCTGTCCGTCATGTCCCGAATTCAACTCGAAGGGGAAAGGAGCTAGAGCTTAGCTCTCTTCGGATTCGGATAGAGCGTGGTCAGAAACCCCCAAACTGATAAAAAAATTATGAAAAACTTTTAGTTTAAATTATTAAAATTAACTTTGAAAGTTTTTTCCTTAGTAAAAGGAGTGGGGGCCCCTTTCCCGGGAGGCCACGCCCCCTTTCTCTTCGCCCATCTTCCCCAGGCCCCTTCCCGCGCCCAAATAGCTTTTTAAGTTACTTTAATACTTTTAATACTTTTTAATACTTTTTAATTATGCTAATTAATTATTTAAATCATCTGAAGCCATCAGGAAGGTATTTAGGTAGTTTTTGAAGGGGATTTCAACCATGGGGGGTATCTGCAGCCATCAGGAAGGTATTTAGGTAGTTTTTGAAGGGGATTTCAGCCATGGGGGGTATTGATGGAGGTGGGAAAGGATGTGGTGGAGTGAGACATGTAGGGTAGCCCGAAGGCCAGATGGTTGCAGTCGCGAAGCGACTGTAACCATCTGGTTCCTAAGATGCGGGCGGCTACCGTATTCCTTTTGCTTGGGCCGGTGGTCCATTGTTTCGACGGGGTCACCGAACCGGAGCTTGATTTGAGGCCGAACACCTGTAGTTTCGAGTTTTCAGCGTTTTAAGGTTATTTAGATACGAAGAAAACGATAACTCCGTTGGATGCAACTGTCGATAGTACACTCGCGGAACGATGTGGCGGTAAGGAAGGTGCGGTTTCAAACGTTTAAAAATTTTTGCTCCTGTTGAGATTTTATGAGTTGATAAGGTTGAATTTAAGAAGGAGATAGAGTGAAAGAGAGAGAGAGAGAGCGAGAGAGAGAGAGACAGAGAGAGAAAGACAGAGAGAGAGTGAGATTCTTGAAAAACCAAAGTTCAGGAAAACTGCCGGCAGCGGATAGTATAGTCGGCGGAAAGCCGGTACAAAACGAGTCCGATGAACGTTTTCCATGGGCCGTTGCCTTTTTCCGGAGTGATCCAGCGGCCTCGGGGGTACGGTAGGCAAGCCAGCAGAGATCCTTTGAGGAATTCCGACCCAGGCAATCTAGCAAACACCCTTCAGGAACGCCCCTACTGCACCGGAACACTGGTTTCTGACCGTCACGTCATGACAGCCGCGCATTGCGTACAGTAAGGGCAAAATTTAACAAAATCTGGCCAGATGGGTACGGTATTGAGGGCGCATTTTAGAACATGGGGCCCAAATAACGAGTATGAAGAAGCCGAGTGGTTTCCGATGGAGCGGTATTATGTTGTGATGGGTGCGAAATGTGTGGTCTCCAATGGCCAATGTGAGGCATTGAGGGCGAGGAGGACGATTAGGAGGGTCAGTTTTCTAGTTCTCTCTCACTCTCTCTCTCTCTCTCTCTCTCTCTCTCTCTCTCTCTCTCCCCTCTCTCTCCCTCTTACCCCATCTCAGATCATCAACGCGGTCATCCCAATGGAAATGAGCAGCCATCCGACCAAACGTCGTGGCGGTGATATCGCCATCATCGAGCTGGAGACCCCGGTTCTCGAGGTCAGCTAGCAGAGACCCTTTGGGAAACGGATCCGCATCCCCTGGCCAAAAAGCAAAAAGTTTTGGGCCTGATTTGGATCGAACCCGGGCTGTGCAGGCTGGGAGGCGAGAGTCTTACCAATCGGCCATGGTGTCCGGGTCCGGGGTTTCTACCTAAAAAAAGAGCTTTAGTTTGTGGGTTTGTAGTTTGTAGTTTCTCGTAGCTTTGCTTGTAGTTGGTTTTGCATTTAATCGACACTATAGAATGCCACGTTGAAATATGCGTGTTTGCCGCCGGCTACACTCGATCTCCCTCACACGGCCGACTACACGGAATGGGGCTGGGGGCTTTTGAGACGTAGGTGCAGGGACGTAGCGTAATACAGGCCCCGGGGGCCCGGGGCCCCCCCCCCCCCGAAATCGGCCGGGGCCCGAAAATTTCATAAGGGGGGACCCTTATGATTTTGATTTTCTCAAAAATTTTGCTGCCTGCGGCGCTATTTTTTCACGTTTTTACGGCTATTTGTAGAGCTATGCAACCTTTTTTCAAAATTTTTTGCCTGCGGCGCTGTTTTTTAAGAAATTTTTTGAGTTTTTTGGAAAAATTTTTTGGGGCCCCCCCCGAAATTTTTTTTCTGGCTACGCCCCTGCGTAGGTGTAAACATTTATCAAAATATACTGTTAATAGGGCAGCCTATATATACAAGAGTAGGACATGAGGAATTAACATAATTTTATAGGCATAACTTTTCAGATGGAACCTCCCAGGATCCTTCTCCACCAGCAAGTGATACCCTAAACTATTTGGATGGGGTGACACTGGATGAGTGTACACCTAAAAGTAATTTTTATATTTTTATCTTTTTCTTTCAGATAATATAGCGGAAAATTAGTATATTTTTTAGACAGTGGAATGGCGGTTGACCTAGACGTAATCTGTGGGCATTCTGTCGGATCTAATGATGGTATCGAAGAGGTATCAAGATTTTACTTTAATAGTTTTCTACCGGGTTGTCGAAAATAAAGTGCATAAATAGAAAATGCCGACACTTCAATTTCTCGAAGTTTTCAAATTTCATAATGTCGAAATTTCAGGATGTCGAAATAGATAATGCCGAAATTTCAGAATATCAGATTTTTCGAAATCTACGAAAAACTCTAAAATGCTACGCAAAAATGTCGATATAGTTAAAGTATCGGCATTACGAGATGTCGACAATTTGCTAAGTTAATCAATAACCAGGGTTGAAAAGCCGCTACGCGGCTTTTCACCCCTGGCCTTTGCGCGGGGGATCTTTGAAAGTTGGGCCTTGCATAATTCGGGCCAGAGCTAGAGCGAACCCCAAAAATAGCAAAAGCAACCGGCCGCGAGCGCGACAAAGGCTAAAATGAGGCTCCTAGCGCCTCGTATGCAAATTAGTCTATTTCCATATGTTTTTAAAACGTTAAAATAAGGTATAAAACGACATTTTAGTAAAAATCTGATAAGCGTGCAGTAATCTACGCCCTCGACTACCCCTAACTACCTTATTTCTGGACCAAAAAATTCTTTCCCCTTCGAGTTATGGCTGGAACCCGGGTTTTTTATGCAAAGTGTCTACACACACACAGACACTATTTTTTTATATATAGTAGGATCGTTAAATTTCGTAATATCGAAATTTCTTTGTTTGTTTCGGATTTTCTTGGTTTTCTTCATCCGATTTCGAAAATCGAATGAAGGCGAAATATAAACTCTTCACAACCTCTTTAAAAGTGTGCTCCAGGGCGACAGTGGTTCGGGATTCGAATGGCAAAGGAAGGGAAAAGGCCCGAATTATGTCATAGGAGTATCCGCTTATACACTTGGCAACAAGGTAGGTTTTAAGGTACTACGTGATACCTTTGCGGCCCAAGGGAGCTGGCAGAGATCATTAGGGAAAAGCTGGTGTTCGATCGATCCCGTAATGATCTCTGCTGGCTTGCCAAACTATAAGCCATGACATTTCCAGGCGAACGTCGGGTATATGACGGATGTGAGGAGATACGCCAAGTGGCTCTGCGAACACACAAAAATTTGCTATATGAGACGAAAATAAGGGGGAAGTTATGAATAAATTTGTTACGTTAATTTTTGGCTAGTATACCAAATTCCTCGAGAATTTCTGCTACGCGTCTCCTTTTCAAGGGTCTCTGCTAGCCTGCCGTCTCCTAAGGACTATCTGCTAGACTGTCTTTGCCAAAGAAACTCTGCTAGACCCCTTTCCTAAAGAATCTCCGCTAGCCTGCCTCCTCCCCTCGTTCGTTCAATTTCAGTCTATTATTTGTTGTCTCTAGGGATCAATCCATCAACCTCCTCCTCCACCCTCTCCAGCAATTGACCTCTTCCTCTTCTTCTTCTTCCCCCATCACGAGCCCTTCTCAAGTCCAAAAACAGCCGGGGAAACCCGAGATTCTCTACCGATCCCCCCCACCCCCGCTTCAATTATGCTTTTTCGTTCTTGGCACTGGGCCAAGTTTTTGCGTATGTCACGCTCTTCACATTTTAAAAAATTCAGCCTTACTTGTCCCTTTCAGGGGGGGGGGGGGGAGGGCACTTTACGATATTTTACGTTACGCTACGCCTCGTTGGTTATGTAGCATGCGTGTTACGTAGCTCTTTAAGCTCTCACTCTCTCTCTCTCACTCCCTCTCTCTCTCGCGCTCCCCTGACTCTCGCTCTCTGACTCTCTCACACTCTCACCGCCCCCTCTCTCAACCCTAAAATCTGTGAGTAGATGTAAGATGGGCCCGATAATGGATGCCATTTTTGAAATGTGAAGGCAAAAGGATGGCGGCTAGATGCTACGTTCTTTACGAATCCGACATCAGGAAAAATAGCTGGAATTTTAAAATTTAAAATGCAATCAGCAGTTCCTCAAATAACCACTTGTCACTCCCCCTTTACGTTATAGATTTTTGAGATTTGAATCTGTTTCGTATTCTACTCACAGGAGTTTTGTGCCCAACTAGGAAAGGGAAATCCACGTCTGATATTAATTTCGGCTAGGATTGGAAAAGCGGGGGCTTCTTCCTTGCATTCCGGGTCCATCCAAAACTCGGGTAAACATAGCCACCCCGCGAAATTTCCAAGAATTTCCACGATTTTGCGCGGCTTCGATTTTTGAGCTATAGCTGGGTAGAGAGACTTTTCCGGTTCCTAAATGAATTCTGCTCGCTTGCCTGCCATTTATTTTTAAGATCGGTTGAGTAGAGCGGCTTTCCGTTAGGCTACGTTGCGTTACGGTATGCTACGGTCTGTAACGCTACGCTACGTTCCGTTCCGTTACGCTACGCTCCGTTTCGTTACGGAATGCTCCGCTACGCTACGCATGAATTATGGCTCACCGAAAATAGCAGGCGCCCAGTATTTTCCGGCAAGCCAACGGTCAGCTGACTTGCCAGTCCCTTTAAAACACAAACGCCGCGGAAAATGTTGGATTTTTCTGCTAGTGATGATCTTCGTGAGGACAGGTAAGGGAACTCGATCCGGAAACCTGAAAAAGACGGACAATCGGCCAAAACCGGAGAGTCTTGCCGGAAAGGGGATATTTCGAGGTTCGTGGCAAAATGCTGCTTTTGACAGCACCCACAACCAAACGGAAAGCAGCTGCTGTCATTTCCCTCTTCGCTAAAATTAGTATATGGTTAGGAATATCGCTCATCGTGCTTTCTCTCTCTCTCTCTCTCTCGCTCGCTCTCTCTCTCTCTCTCTCTCTCTCTCGCTGTTTCTCTCTCTCCCCGCTTCTAGGTTTGATCCGGAAAACCGGATTGTTTTCCAGCCCGCTCCGTTTTTTTACGCTTTACCGCCCACACCGCATTTTGCATAATTGATTCGAAAATGGGGCTATATTTTTCTTGGCCGCGAAAATAGCCTCTAGACGTGTTCGGCTTAATTCGATGTCGTAACCCATTAAAATTCGGGTTTAAAGGGGCGGTTTGATCGATTACAACATGAAATTTAGCCGTTTCCCCGATTACGCCATGGAATGCCGCCTTCTCTCTCTGTAAACCGACGGAAGCTCGTCAAAAATCGTCAAAAAATCTAATTAAGGCACCGGCAAGCCATAACCACGTCACAACGCCCAATTTTTTTCGGTGAAACTCGGAGTCCTTTGTGTATATGCGGTTGAAGCCGGATGGGGGATAATTCCATTTAGCGGCGAGCGCCTAAAAATGGCTGGCACACGCGCTTCGCTAAGGAACATCCGCCTCTGGAATTGTAAAGGGGAAGAAGAAGCATTTCCGGAATGGCCGGAATTCGTATTGGCCTGGAATTCAGGACGATACGGTACTTTTTGCAACATTTCGGCCAAACCAAACTAACTGTCCTTTTTAGAAGTGCTTTGATGGTGATATTGGTATTGGACTGTTAACGGGGGTAGCCTGGGACAAACATGCAGATGCTTAAAAACCCAAAAAGAGCTCTTTTTGGTCGATTTTCATAGATTTCTTAGCGAAAAAGTCACAAAAATTTCCAAATTTCGAACAATCCAAAAATTTTTAGGTTTTTTATACCCAAAAAATTTCTAAAAGTCTATGAAAATGGAGAGTCTATAAATTTTTCTATGGTGTCTTACGGTTTTTTTTACGGCTACGTCGTTTTCCTAAGTATTTTTTGTGCATATTCCTTCAAGGCCGCTGATAATCATATCGACAAATTTAACGAATTCAACGAATTTTGCTTCCCTTTAAATTTTTAGTTGGTTTTTTTTGTCAAGCCACATGATATGTTGTCGCCTTTTTTGGGATGTGCGGCACCCTAAAGCCTGCCCCCACACCCCCCTAATATTTTGCCCTGCTAATCCCTGGCCAACCTCACTCGCTGGGGCAAGTTTGAAGCTAGAAAAATCTGAAAACCGGCAGATTCTAGGATTTTTTAGCTGTTACAGCACCTTTAAAAGCTGAGAAATAGCTCCAATCTGACTTTGTCATTAGTGCGTAAATGGATTCCCCGTTTTTCCATGAGATTTCAAAGTCGCGACATTGGCCGAGAATGCCCCATTTTTGACCTCTTCCAAATTTTCTCCCCCTCTCAGAGAAAAGCCGCAGAAACCCGATCTGGGGCCGCTATTTTCAAGCCGAGGGCAGCTTATTAGGGTCCCAATCCGACGGAAAGTTTTCCCTCTGGCCGCTGCAGGATTCGACGGCTTGTCTGTCTCTCATTTTTGAACCGCTCCGCCTGAACGCCCACAGAGACGGCAAAAAACCATGCCTGCCCCGGAAATTTGAGTAAATTAACCTTCGAGTTCCGATTGGACCGC